GGGTGCGTGGCGCGGCAGCAGGACGGACACTGCCCGACGCAGACCACGCTGTGCACGGCTGCAGTTTTTGGCACGCCCGTCGAGTCGGCGAACGCGACTGCCAATGCGACGCGCGCAGTGGCCGTCACGCTGCCGTCGACAAGGGATACCAGTGGCAGCAAGGTGTATGCACAAGGCGCCGAACACAGCAGCGGGCGCAGCGCTGGCTCGGAGACGTACGCGCTATTGGGTATCATTGCGGGTCTCCTCGTCGTGCTCTGTGCTGCGCTGCTCAACATTCATGTCCAGCGCAAGCGGCGCAGCGACCTTATCTTGCACTCGAACAAGTTTATTCCGCTGCCGCGCCCGAGCCATTACGACCAGCCACGTCGAACGTTCTTGCTGACGACGATGACGTCGCAGTCGCTCTGCCCCGTCCTCGAAGACGATCGATCGTCGTCCGAGGATTGGACGACCAACACGATGCAGTTGCAGTTCTCGCCAAGCACGATGCCGCTGCCCATTGTGCTGCTCACCTCCGAGTCCCTCTCGGACCTCCCCATGCTGCAGTGCGACGAGTACTCGCTCACCATTTAGGTGGCCATCTCCACTAACACAAATGACATCTTATTTAGCTTATCCTTGGCGGTCGTGTGAAGTACTGCGCAGATCCGTGCCGCAGTGCTAGCGGGCTATCATAAAGTAGTTTGAGGACGCAATACTCTCTTCTCTCGGGTCGCGCACGCATGCATTGCAGACACGGAGGATGAACCTATAAGTACACTGGCCGGGTGCGGCGCCGTGCACCTCAGGAAGGGTAGTACAAGACACAGCCATGCTTTAGCAAGGCTGCTACAACAACTTCGTTTCAGGACTCGCGCAACAACGACCAAGGGCCACGCATGGGAAGGAGTCGTTGAGCTTGCATACCGGTATGTGTGGATGTCGTCGATGGTCCATCGGTAAATGCTGTGCGCTTGATCGACATGGTCACGGAGTCATGCCGATTGTTTCGACACCGTTGAGCAAGGCAGCACTGCCCATGTACGTACACCAACCTCGACTGCAAATGCATCCTCGTTTCCGGAGATGGGCCACGCAACGCTCGATGGACCTTCATTTCCCACGAGCATCATCATTATCATCATCATCATCATCCAGCGTATCACAATACGCGCGCTGCAGCCTGACGTCGTCTATTGCGATATGCATGTCTACGCTCGTTGCCATCGTTGGCAGCACGGGCTTTGCGCGCCTCCCTGTATCCGTCGTGCGCTGGCCGTCGCTGCACGGTCGCCACCACCTCGCGTCGCGCCATACCGCTCAACAACGCTGCGTACCAAACCATGGCGACAAGGCTACTGTGCTATATAGCATCGTTCGCGTCTGCTGCGGTAGCGCTGCGTCAACGAATGCTGGGCTCCACCCGCAGGACCGGATCACAGGGTTCCATCGGCGCGGGCGCGGGAGGGGACTCGCCGTCGGCTGGACCCTTGGCCGCGGCCACGCTTCGAGCACGCATGCTGCCAAGCATGGTCAAGGGCTTGGTACCGTACGTGTTGGCGCCGGCCGCACGGAGGCGACGACCGGTCGGCCATGGCGTCGTAGCGACTCGGTCCCGGCGTCGGCGGTCGTATTATTATTCGCATGCTGGCTTGTTTATTTTATTGTCTCTGATCCCGCGGGTTGCACTCGGGGATTGTATACGTTCTAGAATCGAGGCTCAAATCTCGTTACAAGCACATCCCGCCGCACCAACCAACCAGCCGATTTTCCGGATTCGTCCGGATACGGTATCCCCCGGGATAATTGGTTCGTATAGCTTGACACCACTCATTTGGCTAAGGGGCAGAGTTACTTTTTCATTTCCCAAAGTTAAAAAAATGGCCGAGACCGCTGCCGAAGTCAAGCTCTTTAACAAGTGGTACGTGTGCATGGTCGATCCGGGCGAGGTGCATGGCCGTCGGTCGCGCATGCGGCCGATGGGCCACCGCAGTCGCCATGCGCGTCCGAGCCGTGGC